TGGTGATTGAAATATGGTCTATAGTAAGGTCTAAAAGCTCCATTATCCTTATTTGTCACCATTTGTTTTAAAGATGGGGTTGATCCTTTAAGCGGGAATATAAAGCATGCACCTCAAGTTGCCCATTAGGCTAGATCCTAAAAAGATGCTTAAAGTAACTAGAAAGGTGATTCCGAGTTAGTGTTGCAAGCAACTTAGGGATTATAAAGCATTTTAGCACTCATATCTGATATTAGATTTCCTAAAAGAGTTTAGCCTCAAGAATGACATCTTTATAAATGTAATTATGAAATAAAGATGGGCTAAAGAGATGGGTGTGGGTAATGACAATAGGATGATCGAGCATGTTCACAAGAACGGTCTCATCACAAGGAGAAAGAAGAGAAGACTACACCAATGAAGGATTATGAGAAAGAATCAATCTAAAAAGTAGATCCAACTACAAGCAACTGTAGAGATGGCTTGAATAGGGAGATAAGACCTCCGAGGCATAGGTTTATATGAAGAATAATGAATGGTCTTCTAAAAGCCATTGCAAAAGGTTGATGGAAGTGATTTTGAGGAAGAAATGAAACCCCTGAATTAGGGGAACATAGAGAAAGTGTGTTGTAATGAAGAATAAAGAGTTAAGAGTAGCAATCATTCATTTCACTACAATATAGCTGAAAAAACAAAAATGTTGAGTGCAACAGTCAAATTCTAAGTATCCGTTATACTTTGGAAACTAAAGAGCAAAATGACAACCATTAAAAAGAATTATTTTCTTTTTACATGTAAAAAAGACTTCCATATATATATAAAAAGAAAGAGGGAAATCTATTATACCAAAAATTTATACAAGCCATGAGCCAAGTAAATTAAAAGGACCAAGCCTAATAAGCTCTTCAGTGGGTTCTTCTTATTCACCTTCTTCTTGATTGACTTCACTTAAGCCCATTAGTTATTTTCTACAACACAACCATCCTCATCCTTGAAGACCTAATGCCCATTTATGACCTAGCATGCCCGAGTACCGGTGAAATGAACTAAAGAGCTTGTAGCAACATACTAGTAAAAGACACCAAAACATGGACTCTCAATAAGATGAAAATCATGAAAGAAGGCATGAAGAAACAATTTTATTTAGTAGAAAGATCAACTAGTGAGTAGCTAGTAGGAAAAATAACAAAATTCTAACATCAATAAAGTCATGATGTAGATGGTTAGAAGAAACTTTGGAGATTGCAACACAAAAATAACATAACAAAACTATGACTTTGATGCATTGTAACAAAAAAAAAAGGGAGGGGGGATAAAGGAAGAATATGAAGCAATACAAAGACATAACAAAGTGTAGAAGAAAGTGATCCACTATAAGAGATCATGAAAGAGTAAGAAGTCGGTAAATACCGACTACAATAAAAGGACCAAAAAACACAACAATATAACACACAAACAAAACTCTTGCAAATTGCAATCAGCTTTAAAGACATTTCTCAAAATTTTAACACACCGACCCTTGTTAAGCTATGGCTAGTAGCATTAATTTGTAGACAGTAGTCAAATAGGCTGATAAATTATAAACAAACAAGTTGGTTCCTAGTTCTCGTCTAGTGTTTGCTCGCAATCGTGATTCACAATTCCTTCAAAAAGTATTGTATCCGAAGTATGAATTTGTGAATATTCATCATTCTCTATGAATGTAAGTTTTTTTTTTATATATAGGTTGAAATATTGTAAAGATTGCAATATTATTCTTTAAGTACGGTTGAAGGTTTTAAACTTGTAATTTCGAACAATCGTCAATATTGCAACCCTTATTTCATAGTGTTTTGATCATTTAATATTTCATTTTTTAACTTGGATTTGTTTTTTTTTTTTTTTTTGCATTTGAATATTAAAAATTGAATTTGTAGTTTATAATAGCTATTGTTATGAATTATTGTCTTTGCAATCTTGCAACCCTACTAGGTTAGGTAAGGTGTGAACTCATGTCAAGGATTCTCTCACTACAACCCATTCCATTTAGTTTTTTGCCAAGACAAAACACCAAAGATGTCATTAAAACTAGTAGTATGATATGTAGCATTGTTAATTTGATTCATCTACCTACGAGTCTAGAGAATATACTTGGATTGCAAACTATTTTTCAATCATCTTGTTTATTCTTTTATTATAAAATTCTATTAATTAAAAATAGTAAAAAAAAAAAACAATCACCTATTAAATGGAATGTTGATGGCTTAGCTTTAGGAAAACCAAGTGCGAGCGATATCAAGAGTAGGTTGCTTGCTTAGAAATCCCTATGGGAAGTTCGTAAGTATGTTTTCTTATCCAATAAGAATTGAGAAGTCAAATATCGCCGAGTTACGAGCTATATAGAAAGCTCGAAGATCCCGATCTTTAGAGGAATCATAAGTGATTTGTTGGTGTGTATTGTCCGACAAGAATTAAGAAGTCAAAACTACAAAGCATTCAAGGAAGTGGTTTTAATTCATTCTCCAAGAAGCACAAATAGTGTCACGGATGCTTTAGCCAAACAAGGCACCGGTCGTAGAGTTTACGGTGGTTGCTCGGATTGATAAATGCAAGATGCTGGCCTAGGGCCCCCATAGAAAAGGGGGCCCCAATTAAAATTTTGCCCTAAACCTACACCCGTGAAGAATGAGATAAATTAGAAAATGCAGTCTCCACCTAAGTATGAGACATAATTCTTCTCTCTATTAACGAGTCATATGTACTAGAGTTCTTGCATTGAAAGACTCTCATTGTTCGTAGATATTATTATTTCAACGTTAAAAATTCTACCTTTTCTAGATGTCTTTTCGGTTACCTTCTACCTATAAAAGCTTTCAATTTTTATTTTAGTGAAACACTTTTACTTACGAGAAAAGTTTCAAAAAAATATTTGTAAGTGAAACAATTTTTAGATCTCCAAATTTTGTTATTATATTTCTTTCTTTCTCCAAACAATCGTGGATCTCTTTTAAAACCTTTTCTAATTAGCTTGGCGTAAGAATCGAAGGTAATTTTTTAATTTATGCAAATAAAATTATGTATATAAATCATATAATATTTTATTTTTTCTCAATTTTTTTAAATTTTCTCGTGTGATTCTCTCCGGGTTTACTTGATTAGGTGTGGCAAGCAAATATAATCAAGTGTCAAAGTTTCTTACTCTTTTTATAATTATATTTTAATTTTATTATTTGAATAAAATGTCTATTAGAAAGTATGAATCTGGATATGAAAAATGTTAAAACAAAAAAAAAGGTAAAAGAACTAATTCAATCCCAAAAATATGCACTTGATAGATTTTTTACTAATATTAAACCCTAAACACTAGAAGAGCAAGATAAAGATTTAAATGAAAATATAGTTAAAAATTGATAAGAAAAATATTATTTTACCTAGAGTCACATATTTTATAAAGCCGAATCCTGGATAAATGATGGAGCCGTAATTTGTCAAGACTCTCATAAAGGTCCTTCGTCCGCTTGTTTAGGTAAGTTCTTTTCTTTTTCGGCATCCAGCGAGTTGCATTGTTTTCCTTGTGGCGGTTCGATTGGCTTTCTATTGGATCGATATTTTCTTAATAACTCTTGCAATTTTTACTTATCAATGAAATTGGTCGATTCGGGGGGAAAAAAAAGCCTATTCATGAAATTTGGAAAGATCATCTTTCTTTCTCCACATGTACATGGATTCTCATAATCATGCTATTTGCAACCATCAATGTCTAAACCGGTAAGTGAAGTCCAAAGGTTTCACCACCTCGTGGACAAAATGCGGCGGCGATCGCGACGACATTTTGTTGGTAGAAATGAGAGTATGTGACGAGAGAATGTCGTCGGACAATCCACTCCATTCGCTTTTTGCAAACTTTTCGACAATTATCTCCCGAAGTGGTTTCTTTCATTACTTCAAAGAGGTAAGAGATCCGAAATTAATTACAAAATAGCATATTCTCTTAACTCAATAAAGCTACCAAGATTATAAAATTATGGAAATTTTAACAAACAATAAAATACAAAGAGAGTAATTAAAGAGAATACGAGTTCAAGAAATGAAGAAAATAGGAATTAGAATAACTAAAAAGATGTTTTAAAAAGCGAGAATCTATATGAGAATTGAGAAGAGATGAGAGCGAATCAACGGACTCCAACTTTCCGTCTCCGTCTCGATTCCGAATTATGATTGCGATTGTGACTCAAGCTTTGCGTTCTTGAGAAAAGATGATTAATTATAAACCAGGAGTTTTTTTTTTTCCTTAAATAGGGTACTTGTAAAACTTATTTATAAAAATAAGATTGTTTTAATCTTATTTATCAAAACAAGGTAGTTTTGTCATGTAGGCATCCATGTCATCTTTTTTAATTAACTATTAGAATATATATTTAATATAACAATTTAAAAAAATTAAAAATATAAAAGAAAAAAATTAACTTAAGTTTTCTCTCGTCTCTCTTTTGTTGTCTTTATCCTAATGTCTTAAAATTTAAATACTCTTACAATTCAAAATCACAATTACTAAAAAAGTGCTTTAGCATATGAATATCGTAAATTAAGGTACTTTCTAAATTCTTTTGTTTTATTTATTTAATTTCTTAAATTCTCTTGGCCAAAATCCCTTCTTTTCTCCTTTTCTTTTCTTATTTTGTTATTGCTGCTACTGTCTCTGAAAGTGCCCTTGTACTATGAAAAAATGCTTGATTTCATGAATATGACTTTCACACTTCATCCATTTTACTTGTTATTCTTGGAATTAAAGAAACTATATTAGATGCGTTGTGTCTCAACCTTTGGCGCAGGCTAATTCTTTCTAGAGTAGAAAATGTATCGTACATTGGCATAATTTTAAGTTTGTTGAGGACGGAAATATGAGGATTTAAAGAAGGATCACGTTTTATAGTTGTATTCCACCTTGGATCACCTAATGGTCCCATCAGGTAGTCATGTTACATATCTCTAAGCACACGTGCATATTTCACCTATCCCATGCTGTGGCTGACTTGCAAGTGTCATTTAACAGAATTGAGAACAGAAACGGCAAGATGATAAGCATTCGGCAATTTGGATTTGGAGATAATGCCTGGATTAAGTTGGAACCTCTTTCAACAAAAAAAATTACTTGGGAAGATCCATATGGTCAAAAATTTATCACCAAATATATGTGACAAAAGAAACAGAGTTGATTAGAGATTGGTGCTTGCTACTTTCTAGCATCCAAAACTCAGCTTGTTGTACCAAATATTGGCATTCACCGTAGCAAATGAGTGAATGGTCTGTGCTGTGCATAGATGATTGAAGTTTAGCATCCATGAAACAGTGTGCAAAGCTAGACATTGATGTAATGCATTTTTGTTGTAAAATTTATGTAATTGTGGGTTGTAGTTTACCGATATGAGTGTCTTTTTTTCTTTTTAGACAGTCTCAAGAGTTTTAAAGCTTCATGTAATTCTATTCACTGTATCTTTGCTTCAAAATTAGTTCCTGCTCATAATGTACAGGTATCAACTGTGCCAAAGAGTACTTAAGAGCAGCAACAAGAATAGCAAAAGAGATAAAGAAAGCTGCCAAAAAACTTGAACACTAGCCCAAGCAAGCAAACCAGTTAATCCAACAGCCAAGATGTTTTCAGGATCTGGGTTCAATATCAAATCACCCCACTTGACATTGTTAAAGGGAGGAGGTTGATCTTTCTTCAAATCGTCACCACCACCACTGTTATTCAAAGACCCATTACCCATTTTCCTTCTCTTGTTCTGGTTCTTGAGTGAGGTTGTTGTTATTGGTTTGTGCAAAGAGGAAGAATCCTGGATGGATTTTTCTGGAGATTTTGAGAGGGAAATAATGGAGAGGGAGGGTGGGTTAGGGATGGAGAAGAGCGGTTCTTGAAAATGACGGGATTGGTAGGCGTAAGAAAGATTTGTGCTCTTAACATTTTGTCTGTGGCATATCAGAGCATTCCAAAAAAAAAAAAAAATTAGAAAACGGAACATGGCAAAATCTTTATTTTTTTTATCTTGATTAATCAATAATTAAAACAAAAAACAGAAAAACAAAAGAGATTTTTCTGTTATAAAAGGAAGATGAAGAAGTAGAATTTAGGATAATAATATAATTTTTTTTAAAAAAATAAAGCTGATGTGTTAAATGACTTATTATTAGTATTAAAAAAACTGACACGTGTAGAAGATTTAATCTATGTAGCAAAAATTACTTTGTTTTAATAAATAAGATTAAAACAATCTTATTTTTATAAATAAGTTTTATAATTACCCTGTTTTTTGAAAAAAACTCGTCCATTGTTAGTGGCAATTAAAAGATCCCTTCTAATTAGCATTTGATTGGTACATGTATCCATTAACGGTGCAAAAGTAAGCCCCATTTTGTTCTGAAGGATAATGTTAGTGTGGAATGATTAATTGGAATATCTAATTAATTAACTTCAGAAAAAAATATGTAAGGTCTCTGTAGCATCATCTAATTTATATCTTGCTACGAATAATTCTTCAAGAACAGGGGAACACCATAGGAGCTTCCTAACACTAGCACCATCCAAAAGCTGAAGAGTTCCAATATGAAGGGCCTTGAGACTGGGCAAGGATACGGAATCCGGAAGACCGGAACTTAGATGATGAAGTGATTTTTCAGTTTCAATAGCTTTAGCTTACATGCACTAACAGCTCTGGTTTCGAACAAAATTTGGAGCAGACATACATTGGAAAAGGAAACATATAAAGCCCAAACAAGTTTTAGGCTAATGAAAATATTTAGCAAGCCTGAAATTAAGAAGCTCCGAAGACCCAATTCAGTGGATTTGTTGCCCAACTTGTCTGATCTTGAGAAAAAGAAACTAAAGTTGCAGTACCGTACAATGCCTGACTAATTAATTAATTAGCTTCTGTGACATTAATGCATGAACAAGGCACCAAGTTAATGACAGAAAACATTAATTCATTAATTTTGTCGTAAATGCTTTTATGCAACTATGACACTATATGATATGTTTTAAAATAAATAACTATTGAATTGCATATTGAAAATAAGCCGGTTGCTTGGATGCCTACTTATATATATTTTTATATTCAGAATTACATTAATTAAAACTAAATTTATTATTTTTAAATTAAGTTAATGCTAAATTACATTAATCATTAGACGAATTTTCTGTCAATTAATATGATTGGAATTCTGAATTTGTATTCGTTGAAAGAAATTAAATTTTATTGCTTCTGTTCTAAATATAATTAATTATATTTGTAGTATAAAATGAAAATACCTGAAAAAAAAAATCATACAAAGAAACAAAAAAATTTCAAGAGTGATAATCGAACTTTTGACTTTTTAAATGAGAAATACTCTTCTTTATCACTCCATCTATAACTTTAGATGGTATGGAGGGTTACTTTTATGCAAATCATTTGTTGCATTCCAGAGAGAAAAAATTTCATGATTTTCCAAAGGATTCAAATCTTTGTGTCTTTTGTAATAAAGTGATATTTTCTGTAATAAAGTTCAATCACCAGAATTGCAAGTTCATGAGATAATTAAAGTCAGCTAAATAATTGTTATAAAAAAGGAGTTAGCTAAATAATTGACATATTAACATCAACCAAAAAAAAAAACAAAAGGTAGAACAAAATCCGAAGGAAAAAATTTATCCATAAAACATATTGATGGATAAACAACATCTGTATTTCTGCAGTAGTATTCCCCCAATACTAATAAATTACGCTGCAAAAAACGGTAGAACACAAGCTTTTTTGGGTCAAAATTCAAGGAAATGCTAGGATAATCTGACATATATTCGAGCCTCGTTGAAACATTATCCAACGTCTAGAGACGATTTTCTTTTCAACCGGCAATGCGAAATAAAAGAGTCATGTCCTCAAGACTAACGGGTTCTTCAAGAAACATCCCACATTGCTATCTCTCCTGGTCACCCTGAAAATCATTTAATTCAATCATCTGGAGTGTAACAACAAATGAGTCAAATTACGGAAAGTAACCAATTTCTGATGAAGAGCGGCCAAGCTTCCCTGCAATACTTCATCAGAAGTACTCTTGAGACCAAAAAAGTATGGAAAACACAAACTTAATCATAAGAATCATTAAGAAATATTGACTTATAAGGAGGAATATGATTTACCTGGAGCATGAAAGAAAATAAAGTATAAAACCATGACACTAGATATCTGTCTCAAAAGCTAAACCACTCTTTGTACGTAGTCATAAAATCCTAAGTAGCATGAATCAACATATAAACTCCACACGTCATTGTCATCATCTGTAACAAATAACCAATTCTGCAAGAATGGGAGAACATAGTAGCATCTTCCAAACAATGAAGAGATTTGCCAAGAGAACGAAAACTTAATATTTTCTAAAGAAGAACCTCTGTAGTATGATCTAATTTCTTGTAGTTTATATCTAATATTGATTACCGAGAACAATCAGTAGCAAGAAAACAAAAATAGAGAGAAGCAAAAGTATTCACGACTCGAACTTGCTCCTTTAGTTCAATCACTCTAGATAGTGAACCTTCGCCTTTTTTAAACCTCGTTGTTATGAACCAAAATCCCTTACAATCTAGTATTGATGTGGAGAATTCGGGGGTCAACATCCCTTGTTTTATTCATCATGACCGGTATGAAAACTCGTGTAGATGCGGTAGAGGAGTCCGTCCATTCTTTGGATTCCAAAATTGAGCATCTTCATCCCAACTGTTAGTGTAGGTGCCCAAGATCCAACCATGTATGAATGAGCTTGAGTTGATGTATCATTGCATTATTTATTTTGATAACAATAAATAAGTCATTCCGTTAATTCTTTTATTTACATGTTCATTAGAATTAGATAGAAGTCCTTATGATATGCATTTACAATAGTGATTGATCGAAAGATGTGAGACAAACACTAATGCACATAAATGATATTAGTAAATGTCCCAAGTTGTAGCATTGTCAAGAATGGACATTGACAAATGCGGATAGACTTGTGAGTGTTATGCTCATGCTATATAATATCGGTAGGAGATCTCACACCTATTGGCATGGTGATGCCAAAGCAAACGCTTAGGTAATTTATGTTAAAGAACATGTCATTAGACTTGACTCGTCATGAGAACACATTTGGTTTTAATCTATGGGAATCTCATACGAGATGGGTACAAATGATTCTTAGACTTGAAGTCATCACGGTTATCTCATTGGAGGACTTATGCACTTTGAAACTCGTTTCGATGGACCCATTAATGAGTTGCACGTAGATGATTTGTTGGGTGCATTAGAAATTTAATGGAGGTAGGTGTATGATTAAGATAGGACATATCATTCCTTGTATGCTAAAAGAGTTATCACATTACACTTCGTTAAATGTCTATTTAAGAAATCTATGACCATAGTAAGAGTACACCAATAGAGCATAGTTGGTATACTCTAACAACTAAGACATTTGAGAATCAAAGAAAACTTGTGTGACTATAATTAAACAAGACTAATAACCAAGTTCAAGGTCACACTCGTAATAAGTTGATATGAGGACTGAATTGTATAGTAACCATGCTCGTGAAAGGTAATAATGGATTAACTAATCCTCCTAGATAATTGGGTAGTCATGATACGGCACTAGATGCTAATCTTGATTTATGTATCAAGAAATTAAAGAGAAGTCTTTTATTTTTGATACATTGTCAATATATCTAAGAGCCTATTGAGTCACACGTATAAGTTTAAGTATTCACATTACATATGAGAAGCAAAGATATTGAAAAAAGTTTCCAATTATAAAAGTTTTTATTTTGGAAAGAGTTTCCAAAATGAAAAGTTTTCAAAAATAAAAAGTTTTCTATTTTATAATTTGGTTTCCTAATTTGGAAGTTAGTTTCAAATTTGGAAATAAAGAACCTAAAAGGAAAGGAGTTTCCTAATTTAGGTTAAAGGTTATTTTGCAAAATTGCTTCCTAATATGGACCCCACTAAAATAATCTAAGAATATTTATTTGGATAGTCCAAATAAATTAATTGGGCTAAAATAGTTTTAGCCCTTTAGATTTAATTAAAAAGCTTAAAGATAATTTTAGTGGGAGAATAAACATCAACCTTATTGGATAAAGTTGAATGTTTTAAAGATGAACATCAATCTTATTGGATAAGGTTGAATGTTTTAAAGATAATAATCAAATAATCCATATATAAAATAACTCCTCATCCTTGAAGGATAAGGAAGCAACAACCTAAAGTTCTTTGTGGACTCATAGCCACCGCTCTCCTTGTCCTTGGATGACAAAGAAACTCTTCTATAAATATATATGAGAGAGAGAAAATTCAAATAACATAACAAGAAAGAAATAAAGAGAGAAAATTCCACCAACCATAAAATCACCTAGGGCACGGGACCAAGAGGAAAAAATAAAAGAGAAAATAGTTTTCTCCTAAATCCTAGCAAGAAATATTCTTTCCTTCTCTTTTAAGGTTGTCACAAAAGTTACTCGGGAATGATTTCTAGAGGAAATATAAAATCAGAAAAAGGTGGAGCTAGCACCTCATTAATTCTTAGTGCTTATTTGTAGATACTTGGACTGCGTGAATCATCAATAGAGGTCGAACACTTGGACGGCTTTGTTAAAAAAGAGTTTAGATCCGCACTACAAGAGGTAATCCTTTACTTATAACTTATAATTCATGTATGTATGGTTAGTAGATTCAATGGCTCGATCTTAGGGCCTTAGATGGAGAAATTTTTT